CGGCGCCCGAGGGCCCCTTCCCTGCCCACCTGGTGGACGTCAGCGGCACGGGGACGCTGTCGCACTCTTACCAGTATGAGGTGTGTCTGAGGGGAGCCTCAGAGACCAGCGATTTCAAGTTCCTAAAGGCTGTTGCCCCCAACCTCTTATCCCAGAGCGCAGGGAGAGAGGCAGAAGAGAATTCCTCTTTTCGGAGCAGTTTGGCCTTTTGATAGTGAATGAAATTATAAATCTTTATGTAACTGTATTCTTAGGAATGTGTATTAGCTTCGTCTAGAGAAATGACTTTTAATTTTTAAATGACTCTGCAGTCAAAGAATAAATTTCCTTTCACAAAAGAGAATCCTACTTTTTTGTTTCTTCCTGATGATTTTAAACCAATGACACTGGGAATGCAAAGCAAACTGTAACATCTGCATTCCAGCCTATAGTGTCTGGAGACTGGGTCTGAAAGGTGCGGTTTGTCCTGAGCTTGAACTCTTCCTCTCAACCTCTGCAGGATCTGAAATTGCAGGCGTTCACCACCTTGACTCACAGTGATTCTCTTTCATTCCCAGGGACCTACCAGAAAGCATGATTGTGTGTCATGTTGTATTTCAAACTAGCATGTTTAAAAGACAGTCTATTACAAAAAAAAGACAGTCTATTAAATGTTAAATCTTGAGACTTTAAGTTTTTTTCATTGTGTTCAATCTTTATTACTTTTGTTTCCTGAATAGAATTTTGTACAAGTATATCTGCCCTAAATTTAGTAAGCATAAAATGAAGATGTATGATAAATTGGAATTTATCGTAGACCACATGAAAAGGATCATCTAATCATTGAATTTAGGTAAACTTTTCTAAAAATGGATTTCTCTCTCCTGATAAACTCTCATTGCTGGAAAAACTCTTACCTGAGAGGAAGGAAGTAGAACTGGTGGATTTTGATCCAAATCAGGAAAGACAGTACTGTTATAATGGAGAAGGCTATGAGGATGACGACCATCATCCCAGAGGTGGTGTTCAGTGTCAGGCCTTTTAATGAGGCTAGAGAATAATGCTCACTGCTGGCATGTAGAGTGCGGTAGTGAGTGCACAAAGGACTAGCATCATTATATACTCACTACTTGCTATTGTTTTGTTTCAATATTCAATTATAGTAGTGTTTTGAAAGTTAAATGAAGAATAAACACAAATACAAAAGCTTCAAAAAATTTAGTAAGCATAGATTGATAGTATCTTCTTAAGCTTGTTTTTATTGGGGTGTGTGTGTGTGTGTGTGTGTGTGTGTGTGTGTGTGTGTGTTACTAGGGATGAACTCAAGAACTTTCAGTTTCCAGGCACTTGTTTATGATGTTATAAGCTTAAATTTTTAAAAAGAAATCACTATGCATTATACACACTTTGAATCTCAGAAAGCCATGAGCAAGCAGATATTCATAGAGACTCATAAAATTCACCAACTAGTGTGTGACAGAGCTAAACAACTTCCCTAATTCTGTCTTATTTTGTATATATGACTTTGCACCAATGCTACCTTTTCTGTCATCATCATTACTACCTACTGAAGGAGAAGAAATCTTTCTATCATGTTCATATTTCCATTTATTTCCATTAGACCAATTAGAAATAATGTTCATATTGGTCCATATTTTTATATTCACATAAACCAACAACCCTGCCTTTAAGGGTTATGTTTTTTGGTGGCCGCTCAGGTTGCCTTCAGGGCAGGTCTGGTTTGGCTTGAGGATGAGGGGATCGAACCACAGCATCCTGAGCCTGACTGCTTTGTTTCAGCAGGCACTTAAACACCTGAGCTAATGGGCAGGCCCCCTGGGTTAATTATTAAACTACTATTATTAAAGGAATAGTCTAACCAAATCTGAAATTTAAAGAAAGAAAAGATCAGCTTGTATTTTCTTCTGCTCTCCTGAACATATAACTTTCATTTAAAAGAAAATATTAGTGGTTGTGAATAGGAATGTAACACTGTTGACTTTTATTCATTCATTATTCACCCTGCTTGAATTTTTCTTCAGCCAATCCCAGCTACATTGGTAACACCATTTTATGCTCTAATGTTTATTTCTAATTTCCTGCTCAGTACACTGCAGTGCAGAACAGGAAAATTTAAAAGATATACTTTTAAATGCATAATGTCATAGAGAAATATGTTTTTCAAGGTTACAAATTCTGAATAGTTTAAGATGAATGCTTGATTTTGATAAGCTGTACCTGTGTGTTCTCTAAATATTGTCATTGCTTGTGGTCATAGAAGTTCATTGGTAGAGTGCTTATCAAAATGCCTGAGATTCTGATTTCAATCCTGAGCATTAAAAAAATGAATCCAGATATTTTTGCTTGGATGTTTCCTTAAGGATTATAAACTTGGATCAATTACTCCAAAAGTAGAGGTACTGTACATCACTAGTAGGATATAGACTAAAGACAGAAGAAACTCCTCACAAAACTTTATCATAGTTTAATAATCATATTATCCAGTTTCCCCAATAAATACATGACATGAAAAAGGGGAAAGAACATTTACACAAGGAAAGAATTTGAGTTTCACCAGAACTCTAATGTGTGGAGTAGCATGTTTGGATTTTGATTCAAACAACAATGATTCTGAAAGTATTTGAAGAATTTAAATATAGATGATATTAAATAACATTAGCTTAATTATCCAAGGTCTTAGATATAATGGCATCGTAGTTAAGGTTTACAAGAAGTCATTAACAGAAATGCATAATAAATTTGTGAGTGAAAATTCACATTTCCTAAGATGCAAAAATATTAGGATAAGGAATTATGGAAAAATATAATTGTTGAATCAAGTGATGAGTGCATGAAGGTTCATATATTGTTCTTTATGAGGTTTGAGTTTCTCAAAACAAAAGGTTTTTAGAAGCTGATCCTGTGAGGAGTTAATTTTTCATAAAACACACACTCCCAAAACACATAATCACCCCTGATGTCACCTGTTCATACTTCCAGCATTTCCATCAGTTGTCTCCACCATTTGACATGATAACTTCTTTAGAGATAGATAGTCTTGCTCAGCCCTTCCTCTACAGTGTGAATATCAAGGTGTATTCTCTACTCATGACAATGGATTCATGAAGACTCAGTTGTTTGATGACATCTACTTGCTATGTGCAGTTTGTTTATGAGGGTAATCTCTCTGTACACCAGTTTCTGTCCTGTAAGTGTAGAATTCGTAACAGCCCTATGTGATATATACTATTATCATCTCCTTTCATATGGGGACACTAAGGCAAGGCAGTTAAGTAATTTATGCTAGGTTCACAGCTATTATTTCTGTGTGAATGGTATTAAATTATAATGCTGAAAGATATTTGCATTACATATATATTTTTCTTTTTTTTGTGGCCAGCTCAGCCCTGATGGGGCTGGTACAGCATGTAGTGTTGGGGAATCTAACCGAGGTCGCTGAGCTTTGCCTAAGCTTGCCTAAGAAGGCACTTTAGACCACCGAGCTATCTTGCTGGGCCCTACATATATATTTTTTAAATTCAAATATATATATATTTTCAGTTTTCCTGCCTATAATTATTTCCAAGTTCTTACCTAAATGTGCCTCAAACTCAGTAGCATTTTTCAGAGTCTCTACTGATGTCATTCCTCTTGTTTGGTCTTCAGACAACTGCGTGCTCAATAAGGTACAGCGACTGTATAGGTGGTATTTTAATCTTAGTGTTGCCACGTGATACATACTGCGCAGACGTTAGGAATACTGCATCCATTCTCATGTGACAATATGTAAGATCCTGTGAGGACGCGTGGTGGCGCTGCAGGATAAGAACGGACAAACTGGAATAGCAGCTTCTCTATTACCTAGCAGATTGTAGCAGCACAGCCTGGAAACCCACGGGAAACTTGGATGCGACAGAAAGGAGGTCTAGGTCCTCCGAAGAAAGACTCAAAAATCACTGGTATATTTCTCAGGTATCTTGTAGAATAAGTACAGTTTCAGACACCGGGGACTTTACAGTTCAGAGGGAAGTATCCTCACAGGAAGCTGTACCACGCAAGAACAATGGAAACTGGAGGGAAGCTCCTGAGCAGACAAAGGCAAGTCCTTTTTTCCTTTTTCCTACTGGGTTTTTATCTGGCGGGAGCGGTGAAATTCAGACGCTATTCTGTGGTGGAGGAAATGGAGGGCAATACCTTTGTAACCAATATAGAAAAGGACCTGGGTCTGGGTCAGAGGGAGCTCTCCAGAAGGGGGGTAAGGGTCATTTCCAAAGGGAATAAACTGCACTTGCAGCTCAATCAGGAGACTGGGGATTTATTGATAAGCGAGAAACTGGACCGAGAGGAATTGTGTGGGCACATAGAGCCCTGTGTACTGCGTTTCCAAGTGTTGCTTGAGAGTCCGTTAGAATTTTTCCAAGCTGAGGTACAAATAATAGACATTAATGACCACTCTCCTGAATTCCTGGAAAAAGAAATGTTGCTTAAGATATCAGAGAGCAGTGCTCTTGGGACTACGTTTCCACTGAAGAAGGCTCAGGATATGGATGTAGGACCAAATAATATCAAGAACTATGTATTAAGTCCCAACTCTTATTTTCGGGTTCTCACCCGCGAAGGCAGCGATGGTGGGACATATCCTGAACTGGTACAGGACAAAGCTCTGGACCGAGAGAAAGAAGCTGAACTTAGGTTAACGCTCACAGCACATGATGGTGGCTCTCCACCCCGGTCTGGCACTGCTCAGGTCCACATAGAAGTGGTGGACACAAACGATAACGCTCCTGAATTTGAGCAGCCTCTCTATAAGGTGCAGATCACTGAAGACAGTCCCAAAGGTTCCCTGGTTGTCGTGGTCTCTGCTACAGATGTGGACATAGGAATCAATGCAGAGATCTCCTATTCACTCTTCCAGGCTTCGGAGGACATTAGTAAAGCTTTTAAGATCAATCCCTTGACGGGAGAAATTCGACTGATGAACCAACTTGACTTTGAAAGAATTCAGTCGTATGAAGTCAATGTTGAAGCAAAAGATACTGGAAACTTTGCTGGAAAATGCACAGTTCTGATCCAAGTCCTGGATGTGAACGACCATGCTCCTGAGGTCACTATGTCTGCGCTTAGCAATTCTATCGCTGAAAACTCACGTGAGACAGTGGTTGCAGCTTTCAGTGTTTCAGATCTTGACTCAGGAGAAAACGGGAAAATACACTGCTTCATTCAGGATCAGGATCTACCCTTCGTGCTGAAATCTTCAGTGGAAAATTTTTATACACTACTGACAGAGAGCCCCCTGGACAGAGAGAGCAGAGACGAATACAACATCACCATCACTGTCACCGACTTGGGGACACCCAGGCTCAAAACCGAATACAACATAACCGTGCAGGTCTCCGACGTCAACGACAACGCCCCCACCTTCACCCAATCCTCCTACACCCTCTTCGTCCCAGAAAACAACAGCCCCGCCCTGCTCAT